CTGACCAACTGGTTATAGAGAGCGTAAGCATATCTGCCACAATGTGTTATGATACCATATACACAGTATCAAATAATTAGACACAAATTAATTTCTACTGTACTTAGAGTTTGACTGGACTTTTTAAATGAAGACATTGATGCATCAGTTCACCAAATTTGTACTTCTGTGGTGGACTTAGTTTCACATCCCCACTAGGTAATCAGCTGTTTATCTTTTTTTCTATTCTGTTTCTGGCCTTTTTTCCAGGCCGTAGGGGGTAAAACTCTATGAACTGACTGGATTAACAAATTAAAGCTGCTTGCCATGTGGTCAGGTAAGCCCCAAAGCCCTTCCTTGTGCTTCAGAACACTGCAGAGTGAAGAGCAGGACTATCCCTTTCACTAACACCAAGACATTTAATCAGCTTAGCTGTACTTAATCTAGCCACATCTTTGGTGACCTATAGATCAGTCTTACTAATCAGACATGAATTGTCTCTCTGTCAAAATAGTCTGATCTAGAATATAGCTCATTACATTTGAGTGACAAAATATTTTAGCAATCACAATATTAACACTTTTGCGTATCATACAGCAGATGTATTAAAGTACAATGACAGCACGCTGTTTTGGAGAGAGAGGTATTTTGCATACACAAGGAAAGCCATTGCCAGTAAGTAAAAACAGATGCCCTTGTTCTGGGCTAGGAAAAGAGAGGAAAGAATTTAATAGCAATAAGTAAAGTAGTTGTGAAGACTCTAATAATACTATTTACGGTAGGAGTTATATCCTGTAGTTCCTTTAATTGTTAATTGTCTCACAAAGTAATGTCAAGTCTTACACTCTAATATTTTCCCAAGAAGTCCTATATTTTGGTTACATCTACTGGGAAGCATCTCTGCCTCAAGGTTAAGCTACTTGTGTAGCATCAATAGGTTACCTTAAAAATGTTCCACCGAACGGCACTAAGTTTACAGTATGCCTTGAAATCTCTGTTGTTTTTTTTTAAATAAAATATTATTATCTAGTCTATGCAATTTCTTCAAAACTACTGTCAGTGTTGCTCTGTCAGAATATGTGCAGAGGGTTAGAGAAAGGGGAAGAATGTGCATTGCCTGGAGGACATAAAAATGTACAAAGTTACCATTGTCTACTTGCTTCCACAGCCCCGCTCAACTGCTTTGTATTACCAGCGACACTCCCAGTAAGAGCAGCAGCTATGCGTTACTTCAGTTACTTTTCCACAAATGTTAGCTTCTTAATCTGCTTGAGAAAAGTAATGTTGATTTAATCGTAAGTTTCAAATTTAGAAATAGAATGTGTATCCTACATCTCACTGGAATGTTTTTGGTTTTGTTTTGTTTTTTTTTTTGTTTTGTTTTTTTTTGGTTTTTTTTTTAGATTGTCCAGAAAGATACTATGAGCTGGAAAGGAAAACATAGGTCCACATCATGAACCTATACCTCTTTGTTTCATCAGACCATCCTGAACAGATTCAGACCAGTCCAGGCTATGTTAGACTTAAATGAGTTATTTAAGACAGTTGTTTGAAAAATTCTTGAGTGGTATTTTGAGAGCCATCTGGTTTTCTAGAAAAGATTAATCACATCTGTTGCATAATAGTATCTTGGAATGTATCTTACCTGTAAATTATCAATGATGTATTTTTCTTTGCTTTAGTAGAGCACAGAATCCTAAAGTTTAATTTCAGACTTCCTTTTGAACCTCAGAAGGGTCTGAGTTATAGAACTGGTGATCTTTCCAGAAGGTTCTTCAAGGGTGTCACTTTACATTTCAGAAGTGAAATTCATAAGTTTCAGGGATGAAATCATGTCTGCATCAACAGCACCAGAGAAAGTATTCTTACTGTCGAGTGTTAACTTAAATGGTTGTTGTGTTGACAACTTCAGTACATTTTCCCTGGAATTTAGAAATCATATTTGGGCATAGCAATGGTGGGCATAGAGAAGCAATGTTATAAGCAGTGTGTATACCCATTCTAGACATATCTTCTTATCTCTTTTGTTCCTTTTAGATCAACATTTCCCTCTTCAAGCCCATTCTTCAGTTTTTACGAATAGCAACATATCATACCAAATATGTATCAGTTGTAGGATATACATTACAGTAATAAATAGAGCAGGAGTGCATGACTCATACTTTGCATGGGTTTAATAATTTTCATTGAAAGCACTTAGTGAATTTTAATAAAATTACTTTGTACTGTTCCTGTGAAGTAGATAAGTATTACCCATGCAGGTATGCAGGAAAGTTAGACTAAAGTTTTCCAAAGAAAGCTACCTCCTTCAGACAATACCTTTTGAAGATGCCTTGTAAGTATCTGCGTGCATTCTTGTTTCAGGCCTGTTTTTTAAAAGACAGTAAAGGAACTACATGTGTTGCTTTCTGGGGTGCTAAGCATTGCTTTTTACTCTTTGGTCAGTGATACAGAATGTGGGTGTGTAAGGGAGAAGTCACAGACACATCTCATTAGAATCCCTCTTCCATTAAAAAAAAATAATCTGAAGACAACTTGAAGTGGCACATAAAAGTATTCTGTTTAACAGAACCCATTGCCAGCAAGCATTTCAAGGTTTCTTTCTTCGTGGTAAAAACACTGGACTTTAAGGACGTTATCACTTATCATTGTTCAAGATTAGTATTATCTGTGTTGCCTACTTGGGATTTCTACACGCTATTTAACAGCACCATTTTGCTGTCTCCCAGCAAAAATACTCACCACTGTCAATCTCAACTTTTTTCTCTTCTTTGTGAAGCTATGAATTAATACCAAAATGCTATAAACCCACCTATTCAGCAAAACTACTTTGTTGAAGAAAGCTCGTGTTCAAAATAAATAGGCTTAAAAAAAAAAGTGTGAAACTGAGAACTGGTTCATTCATCTGTTATAGTGCACAAGTGATTTCCCTAGACTACTAAAATAATGCTAGAAGCATTCAGCAGCTGTGATATAGTTTGAAAGTTTTGGAATTTGAGAGCTGTCGATTTCATAAGGAATTTTACTACAGTAAAAACTGTACCTATCCTACAGATGTGTAGCGTTGGAACCAGCTGCAGAAAACAATTATAAAATTAGTCAGCTGGTTCCTTTCTAAAATAATAAGGGGTCTTAGTACAAGAAATAGATATGAACATAGAAATGCAAGAACAATGGGAAGCTGCAGCACCAGGAAAATATTCTGTTTAAGTAAAATTAGAGAGCATTTCACTGAAGTCAATGGAATTATATTGATAAAATATTAAAGCATTGGACCCAGCTTGTCTATCCTGAAATACCATGTAGATACTTTGATGAATATCTGCCTTCTTCAGATCACAGTTGAGAATGTGATTGTCCTCTCCACGATTGAAAAGGTTAAACATTATCTGAAAAGCAAAACCTCAAATTACTCTATGTGTAAACTACCTTATGATGATGTTTCATCAGAAATAGAAATTATATTCAAGTGATAACTTTGGTTTCTTGCCCTAGAGTGTGAATGTATGAAGCAAGTCAGAACCAGTTTTACGACTTCAGCACCAGCATTGACTTCCTGGTGAAATTTTTGGCATCAACCACAGCCTGTATCCGTATTTTCTTTCATGACACCTAAATCAGATTTTTGTCAATTCCTGTTTATCCACTAATCTTGAACAGGGAGAAAAGCCCATAATAGAAAGCCTGCAGCTGTGCACCTGGCCTATAGAAACAAGCGCAGAAGCCACAATAAGCAGTTCCATCTGCTAGAGAGTAGAATACAGATTGCTTTGTTGGACTATTCCACTAAAACCAGTTTCTGTGTTCCCACATGGTTCGTTTTGTGGGAAAATATCTCATACATAGTAATGTGGTACGAAATTACAATTCCTTATACAATATTTTTCTTTTCTCTTTCTGTAGTCAAAAAGGCAGTTAACTTAATTATGTCAAGGGGAAATTTAACTACAAATGAGCCTGTAATTCTAATCTATCTGTGGCAGTGATATTGGATTGAGTCAGTTATTGCAACTTGCTAGATATTACTGGTTAAGTTTGTATTTAAAATAAATTCTATTAGATTAAAAAGTCAAGATACAAGTAAGCTGTGTAAATTATTTTCATTGTGGCAGTCTGTTATCGAAGCTTTTTTTTTTTCCTGGGAGAAGACCAAATGTATTTGCAGAAATGTTACACTCATTGCATATACACAGACAAATCTATGCATGGTCAGTGTGCCCCATCATCTGGCTGGGAAGGAGGTGTTGTATACACTCTACCACAAGAATGAAATCTATCGCCCACCTATTTTTCCATGATGGGTAACACAGTTTTAGTACAGTGACAGTTCTGCATTATGGAAAAATAAGGGAAAAAATGCAGATAATGTTTCGAAGCAAAGTTGTAAAATATTCATATAGCTCTTCTTTCACCATTAGAATGCAATCTTATTAAATTTCTCATATAACTATGGTTATAAGCAAAAAACCAGCTGAACTCCCAAAAATGAACCAAACAAAACAGCTGGTTTTTTATCTTGTGCTCCTTGGACTGGGATAAAAAGAACAAAGAGTAAGCATTGCATAGTTTGCATATTACAGGAAAACATAATTACTGCGGCCCATCACTATGAAAAAACTTACAAAATTCTAAAGAAAAGAACAATTATTATGAACTCCTGTTTGGAGATCATCTTGCTTTTCTACAGTTTGCAATGTTTAGCACCTGTTCAAGAAATGTCTTCTATAAATAACCATTTTCTGTTTCAGACAAAATTTACATTGAAAATTATCCTGGTGCAGCTGTTCAGTTTTTCTACAATTGTGAATTACACAAAAAGGAACAGTAATTCCTTGGGGGCCTCTGAGTTAAATCCTTTTTTATTTACCATGATACTATGTAGTGGAGCTGTGATCGAAGTCTAACTATTATAGCTAGCTGTTCTTAGATGTGCAAAAACTGAGAACTGAAAAGCCCTTAGTAGTTGATCTTCACTCTTTTACAATTTCTGTGGGTTTCCAGTTCCATAATTACTGACCCTGATGGCACACTGCCCCAAAAATGAATACTTTGATAATTTGCTGCTCTCTTGTAAGCCTTGTGAACTTCGATGTTCTAGTACTCCACCACCTTCATGTGAAAACTACTGTGATAAGAGTAAGTATTTCTGCAATACTTTGTAGCTACACTGGGCACTTTCATGTTGTATTTTACATAGAATTGTGAACAAAAAATTAAAGAAATCTAAAACCTGGAAAGAGTTTATCAAAAAAATATATAAGCTCAAAAGTATTAGATGTATGCAGTGTGTCCTGTATGACTATGTGTGTTAAGAAGAGTAAATTTTTAAAGCTCTCAAGCCTTACATGAGCTGTCACTCTAAAGAAATAGAAATTGCTCCTTTGATATAGAAGAAGTTTTACGTGTTGGACGTGTTTACTGTTCACTGACTATTGCTTACAATTAATTTAATGCATCTCTTTTATTTTATAAGGTACTGATTCAAGTGGAGTTCTTTGGATTTGTTTGGGCTTAGGAGTAATTTTAATGCTCACTTTGTTCACCTTCATGTTCTTGTTTAAATGGAAGCACCTAAAGCAACTAAAAGAAAAACTGAAAAACACAGGTGAATAAATAGGATTCTTTATCAAATAATTTTAGATCATTGTATATTTTAGCTACTCTTACCATGTAAAAATTTTGCATATAATTTATATTCCAGATTCTGATAACTGTCTTTGTTGGTTTGTTTTGTATTCCTCAAATAGTCTCAATGAAGTTATTGAAATTATTAGGGAATAAAATATCCAGATGATAACTTGTAAAAGCAGCAATCTCTCTTTGCTGGTTCTGGATCATGTCAGGATTGTTCTGCTGCATATTCATACCTGGCTTGCTTGTTGGTGTTTGAGAAATCTTTTATGAACCCTTAATAGCAAAAGATCTTTATAAGGGTTTCATCCTCTTCTCATTGAATGCAAAAGGAATTCTGCCCAGGTAGAAGATACATATTCAATATTAGCTTTCTATCCTATAAGATATTAAGTAATTTTACTTAATATTTTAGCCTATGAGAAGCGTATGTGGTATATTTTGGGAATGTGAAAAAAATTAAGATGTTTTTACGTTTTACAAATACTTGTGGAGTGTTCAGCCAATAATTAATATCTGATTAGAAAATATGTGGTAGATTACTGAAATGCTTATTCTGAAGTATAGGGTGTGTGTATATATATAAGTACATCTTAAAAATTTCACTGTATCTTAAAACTTTCACTAAGGTTAGGAACATAGTAGGAACATAATGAAATTTGGATCTTTAATAACTGTATGTCTGGTATAGCATGATGTATGTACTACATTAACTTCTGTATACTTACAGACTCTTCTGTGGAGCTGAATAATATTCTCAAGGCTAATACTGAAAGCAGTGTGAATACAGAAGGAATTAGACACTCACTTCAAAGTGAAACATTAATGTATGCAGTGGAAGAATGCACTTGCAGTGACTGTGGCTTGGTAAAACCTCAGACTGGCTGTGAAACTTCATTTCCATTACCAGCTACAGAAGAAGGGGCTACTGCTCTAGTTACCACAAAATCTTTTGATTATTGCAACTATATTCTGGGTGCTGGGTGACTAAGAGAGAAGTATATTTTTACTGCATAATAACAAATGAATTATTCCAGTGTAGTTATTAGTACTTGCAGTCAGTGGAGAAGGCTAGTACATCGTCCTTATAGATCTTCTGTTGAGCTTTCATTAATTTTGTCATATTATTTCTAATTCTAGTATCTCTTTGGTCAAATACGTCTGCATTATTCTCAGGTACTCAACTAGTTATTGGAATTTTTAATTTCTGGAAGTCCCTACGTAGGATGGCTTTTTCTGCCTTTAGAGATTCTGTTTACTTATGCCGGATATATACAAACCCATCAATAAACAAGTTTGCAAATATATATTTTATGTTAAATTCAGATTTTGTGCCAAAAATTGCTTAATGGTACACAAGGAACGTTCCAAGAGGCAGAAGTGAAAACCTGCATTACATCCCCAGTCTTGTAAAGAATAATTTCAGATAGCCCCTATGATGCTTGAAATAGGAATGTTCTAATGATGACTACCTTTGTAGAGAATGGGGTCCTCCCCAGTTCAGGTAGTAACTCTGGGTCACACTAAGGGAGGTTATGGTTCTGTGAAGCACCATACCTTCAATCCCAATGTATTTTCTGATGGTGCAGACTTTCCCTTAAGTGCCAAGCGTTTTTCAGACTGTATTCTATAAAGATTTCTCTCTATTTTACTATTTTTTTTACTTACTTTTGTGTCATATGGTTTTGGCTGTGACGGAGTTAACTTTCTCACTAGCAGCTGGTGTAGTGCTATGTTTTGGATTTGGGATGGGAAGAGTGTTGATGGCGCACTAATGTTTTTGGTTGTTGCTGAGCCGTCAAGGCCTTTTCTGCTCCTCACATCGCCCGGCCAGCGAGCAGGCTGGGGGTGCCCAAGAAGTTGGGAGGGGACACAGCCGGGACAGCTGACCCCAACTGACCAAAGGGATATTCCATACCATGGGACGTCATGCTCCGTATACAAAGCTGGGGGAAGAAGGAAGGGGGGACGTTTTGAGTGATGGTGTTTGTTTTCCCACGTAACCGTTACGCATGATGGAGCCCTGCTTTCCTGGGGATGGCTGAACACCTACCCACTGATGGGAAGTGGTGAACGGATTCCTTGTTTTGGTTTGCTTGTGCGTGCGCAGCTTTTGCTCTACCTATTCAACTGCCTTTATCTAGATGACTGTTTTTCCCCACCTTTACTCTTCTAATTCTCTCCCCCATCCCAACTTGGGGGGGGGAGTGAGCAGGTGGCTGTGTGCTCCTAGTTGCCAGCTGGGGTTAAACCGTGACACCCTTGTTTTATGTACAACGACTGCTGATTAGATATAGTCATACTAGGCTTCTGTGTGGCTTAAAGTTAGGAATTTACTTTTGTCGCCTTGCCTCCCCAAGCATTAATGTTATTGTCCTAATACTAGGCCAGTTTTATTCCTGGAAAACTTCAACAACAAAAGCAGTAACTTTTTTATTTGTAGATAACTTTCTATTTTGGGTTCTTGGATGAATAATGAATTAAAATATTTTAAGACTAGTAAGTTATTGTGCAAAATCTATGAATGACTGATATTACAGCACCTTTAGCAGGCTGATCACAAAGTTTGGGCCAGTTACGAGTTATTGCCAGAACGTCTGAAATAGGCCTACAGAGCTATTAAATCTATTATTATTACTTTATCTAGGAACTCTTGAGGAAAAGAAAAAAAACAAAGCAAAAAACATTATGCTGTGTTGCTCGACGCAGTGTGGAGCTGTCTGTGGCAAACACACAGCATGGTGTTCACACAGCGTGCAAATACAAACCAGCAGAAATGATGCCTCAAAGCGAGTCTACGCCTACTACATTACATTGTTACTGTGCCATTTTTTTGTATTAAGAGATTTCACAATTTCTGTACCAGTTTTTTCAAACGTGAACCTTTCAGGACTTTTAGCTTGCGTAGCACGTGTGACAGTACGGAGCATTTTATCTCCCTTTTTCCCTCATCCTTCGTTTGCCCGGCATTTTTTCACCCCCCCGTACAGTCACTACGCGGGGCAGACCGTCTCCCTGAGGGGGCACGGGCACGGGCACGGGCACGGGCACTCCCGCCGGGGGCGAGACGGGCACGCACAGCCGTGGGAGCGGTAGGGATCCTGCAAGTATGGCAGTGAAGG